TCTCTCTCTCTCTCTCTCTCTCTCTCTCTCTCTCTCTCTCTCTCTCTCTCTCTCTCTCTCTCTCTCTAATTAATTAATTAATAAATTAACAATAAATTTTGTTTTTTAATAAAAACATAATTATAAATGTTTATCATATCTCTATACATAAGATATTTAATAAATAAACTAAAATAAATATTTAAACCTGAAAATAGCAATAATGCAAATAAATAACCCAAACTAACGCTGACGACCCAAATAAAACTCCTTATTAGCACCAAGCTCATTATTAATACCGGTCAACACAATTTTAGCCTTAGCTAGAGTTTCATCGCTTTTAATAAAGCAAAACCTCACCAATCCTTCGGCCAAATGCTTATTACCCGTACTGTAAAACACAGTCAACGGCACCGCCTGTACGCCCCGGGCGGACAACCACCGGACAAACTCAGACGTTTTGCCCCTCTTATCGTAATAAGCGGTCAAATCTAACCTCTCTATGAGTGCCCTACAGTCGGCCACCATATAATAGCTCCCTTCGGGCACCATTGGCTTCAAACCCATGTCGGTCAACATGTCATACATGAGTGTCCGCTTTTTGTCCATCAGTGCGCAAAGTTGTGTCCAATACATACTGTCCACGTGATTGAGCTCAAGTTTATCAAGCTCAATTTCAAACGCCCTGGCTGCCGCCTCTTGGATAGGTGTAGGACAACAGTATACGCTGACCACATGAGCCAGTGTTAGCGCGTGTCTGATGCCCGGGTGCCCAGTGATGGCCCAACCGCACCGCCAACCGGTCACGTTGAACGCCTTGCCCAGACTGCCGATGGTCACTGTGCGCTCGTACATGCCTGGCATCGATGCTATTGGTGATTGTTTTTTGTAATGGTAGTGATTTAAATGTGAAAGTGTGTGCGATTTTTACCAAGTCTAAAGTGTTTGTTGTCATCATAGGTAAGCCATTCGTACACCTCATCCATGATAGCGATTGTATCGTATTTTACACATAATTCCCCAATTCGTGACAATTCTGATGACGTGAATACCTTTTTTGATATAAATGTATAACATTTTATTAATTATTAAATTATTTGTTTATATTATTTATTTTATAATTATTTATCAAGCAATTTTGATCTTATTGCTCTCTCTCTCTCTCTCT